CCCTCAAATCTAATCATCTACCCGTCTGCCTGCTTGCCTGCCTGGCTGGCTGTCTCCCTCTTCTTAGGCTTTTGCCAGAGGAGGAGTTTCTCATTTCCAATTAGAAGATTAAATGGGCCTAAATTCCCCTGCATGAAGAGTTGAGAGACTCTGTGACCTCATTAGAAGCACGCACGTGTGCTAACAGCATCACGAGCACAAAGCACCAAAGTGGTTTCATACATAGCCTTTTAAAGAGCAGCTGGTGGCCTGACCGGAGAGGAAGAGCGAAAAGAAAAACTGTTTTCATGTGAACGCGAAGGACAGAAGTGTGGAAAGGATTGTCAACTATTTGAAATATAATTAAAAGTGTGATTACGCCTACAGTTTGTTTTCTTTGGTTTGAATCACTGAGATGTTTCCTGTGACATTCTGCATCTTATTCGTTTTGTTTGACCCTTTGAAAACTATTCATTGTGTAAATATGGTGAATATATTTTCTTTGTTCTTTTATGCGACATTCATTTCTCAGGTCACATATTGAAGCCTCACATTAATTTGATCTCGACTCCTCTTTATTGTTGGCTCACAAAGTCCAGAATCTATCAAACTTAACTTACCAGATGGACAGAGCTGAGTGAGTAAGTGCTAAAGAGGTCAAGTGTGCTTCTTTAAACCAGGCGGGTGTGAAAACATAAACTGCACTGAAGACTAATCTTCCAGATACTTTCATCGCCTTCCTGCATAGCCTCTGTTTGAGCTTGGAGAGTGAGAATTCAAAGTCATGTACTGTATTTCACACATATAACTGACCCACGATCAAAAGATCACTGCACTTTATTAAAAAACATGAATATTTCTTTCAAACAAAGTTCTGCTACTTCTCACTTTGGGTATAACAACTCGGGAAAAACACCTCAGTCATGCCTATGAGGAAGTGATCTTACTGCAAAGGCATGCATGTTCATGCACAAGCTATAAACACATACACATTCACACTGATTACACCAGCAACTTTTAAGAGATTATAAGACGGTAAGAGAGGGTACCACGAAACACCATCAGTCAGTATAATGCAAATAAAAAGTTTTACCTATATCATATATATAAATAAATTACAATGCTGAATGCTGAATACAACAGTCTTAAAGATCCAAAGACACCAGTCTCTGCTAAAATATAACATCTGAGCTCAAACATGACATCTAAGCTTATAAGGACTACCACTATTCTCACTTGAATAGACATTAAGTATAGTTAGAATCCCCTTAATCCTAATACATGCATGTGTTGAGGTCCCCCTTGGTGGCAGACTAACACAAGTTTGGTTGTTGGAGTAAACAACATTCGCTACCTAGCACCTGTTCCCTTCAGACAGACTTTTATCTGAGATTAATATTTAGTTACACACATAGACAAGTGCACAAAGCCGTGTTGCACTCGCACAGATGCAGCATGAAAAGAAATATCAAAGGAGAGGAGAAGATAAGGAAGAGGAGGAGAATGACAGAGCAGGAGAAAGAAGAGGTCTGGACTGGGGAATGACGTATACCTTTGTCCCGTCCACCGGATTATGGATGACAGTTGTCTGAGGTTCCTGGAGGAAGAGGAAGATGAGGAGGGGAGATGAAGGAAGATGAAATAAAAGAGAGCAAGTAAAGAAAAAGTGGAAGAGAAAGAGAGGGAGGGAAAGGAAGAGAGCAATTTGACATAAACGTAAATATAAATGAACCAAGTGTACCAGAAAGAGTGACATGAATGTTGTATGAAGAGAAAGTGCTTGTTAAAGATGGCAGAAAAGAGAGGGAGAATCCTCCAAAGTCATAGAGTGGGTGGATGAACTGAAAACTGTAATTTGGAGTCAGTTCTGTTGCCTGTACACACACACACAAATTAATCTGCAATGAGCACATCAGTGCTCATACAATTTCACACACACACACACACAGTGGTTTTTTGCATACTTCAGAGGACACTACACTGACTTTTCTTCTTTTCCTAAAGACTTGACCCAAACTGCGCCCCAACTACTGCGACCATCATTTTATCCTACATCCTTACACTAAAATCTAATGACCTGTTTTTTAAAATCTCAAAACGGAGGCAAGTCCCCGTAATATAAACAGCTCTACATATGTCCCCACAACATAAGTAATACAAGTCCAAATACACACATACACAGAGCAAGTACACAGCCTAAGGGAAGAGATGGCATAAAGTTGCACTCAAAGCTGTGACATCTTTTTGAACCTTAACTTTTCTAGGCTTTTGTTTACATGGGTACTCCTTATTTCTGCACCACCCTGCTGTGCATGCATAATTTCAAACTGCTTTCTATGCCTGAAAAGATGGAAATGCATGCCAAATCACAGAAATAGCAAATCGAAAGGGACAAAGGCATAATGACAAAAATCAGCCAGCTCATACAATATGCATAAAATATAATGTGACAGATTTAAAAAAAAAAAAAATGGCCTCAACATCTTGCAAAACATTGGCATACCCAGCAGAAAGACTCAGATGCCCCACATGATGAAAAACGGGTCATTCTGTTCTTTCACACTCGTCTCAACAGAAACG